AGAAGCTCTGACAGGCTGAGCAGACTCCTGATTTGGTTGATTCTAAGCAGGCCTGAATCTGAATTTTCTCCTTTTCACCTCACTGACAAGAACTGGATGAGACTGTGGCTTACCAGCAGTCAGCTGAAGGGTTTGTTTATTCATTTGTCTTCTGGGCTGTGTATCAAATTGGAAATGAGGTAAAGGAACAATAAATCTAAGAGTTGGTAAATGTACGTGGAAGCACATGGCATTTCTGCCCTGGGCTCAACACTTCTGCAGGATGGTTTTGCCTTTTGGACCCAAAGTCTTAGATGGGCGCATATAGTCAGGTCTAGTAATCCTGCTGCTAAAAGTTTTTCTTGAGAAAATGTGTTTATCATAAAGATATGCACAGAAAAATTTTATTGGTGTTTTTAACAATAATGAAATACAAACAACAACAAAAATAAATCAGTCACAATATATTGTTAAAAAGCACCAAACCGAATACTGCAGGAATCCAAAAGAATATTACAGTACCATAGCAGCTTGGAAGCTGACACATATAATTGGGAACTATCCCAGCAGCACTTGTAAAAAATGAGAACAATGGTCAGTCACTGATAAGTATTGTTTTTCAAGTTCTCTAAAGTTTTTGCAGGGAGCATGCATTACATAGCTTTACTACTTAGATTTATTTTCAAGGACATGAGTAGTAAACTTGTATCTGAAAGGGTAATCACTGTTTTTATTTTTTCAAAAAAAATTATTTCTCCATGAAATTCCAGCTCAGTTCACATCTGCCATCTACCTCCTAACAATGCGAATTCAAGGACAACTTACAAAAGAAAGAAAGAAGAAGAGAAAGAGGAAGAGGAGAGAGAATGAAAGAAAGAAGAAAAAGCAAGAAAGAAAAAAGAAAAAGAAAGAAAGAAACCTGAAGTACTGTAAGGATGTGGCCTAATGGACCTCCCCTTGAGCTCTTCCTCCTACTAAGGAACAGCAGCAAGTCTGGAGCTTATAGAAGGTCCATGCCCACCTGTCACGGGCATCTGTCTCAGGTGCTGAGCTGGCTGGGTGACAGACATGGCAGTGGTGAGTGTCTTCTGGCATATGAACCACTGACCCCTGGGGTTCTTTGCCACTCCAGAGCTCTTACCTCCCTCCTCCTTCTCAGCTGGAAGAGGTGAGCAAGGCAGCATTTTTAATAATGTTCGGCAGGGTCAAGACAACACTGGGCAAGGAACACAGATTCACCTTGCTGAGACCTTGGCCTTATGGAATATGCTCTTTTCAAATGTCATGAATTTCTGATGTTTTGCTTTGGCTTTACAATCTTTATCTTTCAGACCTCTCAAGTATAAATATTTATACTACTTTCATGACTTCACTCCACATATATTTATTAAGCATGTGTATCAGGGGCAGCAAACTGTTTTGTGGCTCCCTCTAGGACCACTGGGGCCCTTCTGCCCCATGATGAACAGGAAAAGCCCAATTATTTCCCCCTGTTTGGTTAAGGAGACCCTTCAGGTAAGGATGTAGAGGATGAGGCAAACAACCCACATCCTGTCTGAGTAGAGAGTGCACTAGAGTGATTGCTGCTGGGCGGTGGAAGGAACCAGGGTTTCCGTGAGTGGGAGTTGGTGCAGGAGGGAGTTCACAGTTTTAGCCAGGAGCCCGTACAGGGGACTGCAAATGGCCAGACAGGGCTGAAGGCCCTGCCGGAATGAGCAGGTCTGTTGTGTATGGATGGAGCTGATGAACAGGGCTTTGTATCTGTATTAGGAATCTCCAGGAAAGCAGAGCTAATAGGAGAAATATAGATGTCTACGAGGGGGTTGAGTATAAGAATTCGCTCATATAATTATCGAGGCCAAGAGTCCCATAATTTACAAGCTGGAGAGTTGGGAGTGGTGTAGTTAAAGGTCTGATAACTAGGAGCTCTGGTGTCTGAGGGTAAGAGAAGGTGGATGTTCCCATCAAGAAGACTGCAAATTCATCTTGACCTTGCCTATTTTCTCTATTTAGACCCTGCAATGAATTGGGTGGTGCCTGGCCGCATTGCAGAATTTGAATGCTACTTCTTCTGATAACACCCTCACAGACAGGCCCAGAAAACAATGCTTACCAGCCTTCTGGGCATCTCTTCGCCTAGTCAAGTTGACACAAAAATTAATCATCCCAGCACCACACCATTCCTTCTTTCTTTCGCTCCACCCATCACCTGCTCATAATGAGTTCTCTATGTAACTACTCTAAATGTTATGTAGCTCTGAATGCCATAAAATAATTTCTGCCACCTGGGAGGCAACAGGAAAGTAAACAACTGCAATCTAGAAAAAGTGCTGCAGGACTGGGGGTGTGTATGTTTAAGGGGCAGCGCTGGAGGCCAAAAGGAAAATGAGCATCCCTGCTAGAGGAGGTAGGAGGGAATTCGAAACAGGGGAAAGAGATGTGTAAAAGCAGAGTCTCTGAGAACTGGGTCTTGTAGCCAAAGCCAAGGCTGTTCACCCTGGAAGAGGCCAGTAAGGTGCCAGACAGCAGGCCCTGGGGTCATCAAGAGAGCTGCCGAGATAGCTAGCATGTGTTCAGCCTCACCTTCAGAAGACCTTTGCTGGTATTCATAGGCCAGGCAGATTGGGGATAAGGGGCTGGGCTGGGTACTATGCCTAGCGCTGTAGCTCAGGGAGCATTTGGGAAACTGTGGCCATCTATAGTGGTGGTCTCTCTGAGGGGAAGGAGTAGGTCTGGGATATATTCAGGAATGAAATAGGAAGGATGCAATGGGAAAGGGTGGCTCAGCCTGTGTTCAGTTTTGCACTGGCTGTAGAACAGCCTGGGGGTTGAGAGTAGAAGGTAGGAGGTTACTGGGAATTGATGCTTGGGAAGAAGAACCCTGAGCCAAAGCTGAGCTGTACAGACAATGCTGTCCTGAGAAAGAGAACATGCTGCAGAGCCAGGCAGCTGGGGCCATCCACCTATGACCTTGCCCAATACATTTTGCCTCTTTGTGCCTCAGTTTCCTCCTCTGTAAAGTGTAAATCACACAGGTTTGTGGTGAGGATAGAACCTGTGGATTGTGCACCTAGGTGTGCTCAACACATGTTAGGACTACCGGGGACTCTGTGTGGTTACTGCAGTGTTACTGCAGATGAGATGACCCAGGTAGAGAGCTGTGAGCAAAAGGACAGAAGCCAGAGGACAACTGAGACCCTGAGCAGTAAAGATGTTTTCCTGTTTCTCTCCTGAGGCAAGATGGTGCCTGAGAGGTTTAAAATCTTAAAAATAAAATCTCACCAGACTTATATCTAAATATATTGAATAACTTATTTTATGAGCAGCCCAACTTAAAATGCACTCCTTATGTTTCTAAGCAAATAAAGCAACACCGTAAACACTCATCAGATAGCACCAATGTTGCTGGCAACTGGCTGAGTGACCTTGGGGAGCCACCCACTTCCTGTGAGCCTGAGGTGGTTCACTGTAAAATGAGTTGGTCAGAGAAGAAGCATTGCTCAGGTTTCTTCCAGTTCTAAAAGTCTAGTTCCAAAGGCAACCAAATGTTAGCCTGGTTTTAGTTACTTGATGGACTGGAAAGGTAAGTGACGGAATGTTATATGGGGATAACCAAGAAGCTCAGTCCAGAAGAGCCATGAAGTCAAGGCAGGCAGGGAGGGTAGAGTGGAGTGGATCGGAAGGTTTTCAGTCCTAGGAACTATGCAGCCTGGGCTCTGCCCTGGCCTCTGAGCAGGCTGGTTTGAAAGCTACCAGCAAGGAGGGTCAGTCTGTCACTTGGTGAGCAGCACCAGGGGTTGCCTCCTGAGTCTCAGGTGGGACGCACTGGCACAACCACAGCAGACACTGTCTCCACCCTACCCTCCTCGGGGAAGTGAGATATTGAACAAGTTTTAATAATGAATGAAAGGATATGAAGGTCATTAGGCAGTTTACTCAGCTTCTCTGGGCTCTGGTTTTCTTCTCTACAAAACGGAGATACACAAATAAAACTCAAAGGGTGAGTGTACTAACATGGTTTATTTATGTCTGATGGGCCTGGTAGAGATGTCTAAAGTTATTAAATGAGGACGCTTGGACAAAAGGCTAAGAAAATGAAGGAAGGGTGCATGGATCTACAAACTACACAATGAGAGCCTGCAATAGTTGCTAACAGGTGCAAGTTCATTTCTGAGCTTCCAAGCTAAGAGCGAAAAAGATATAAAATCAATCTGTGGCTTAAAATTTGTCAGTGGCTTCCTATTGATCTTAGATAAAACCCAAGCTCCTTGCCTGTCTGTCTCACACCCGCCTCTTCTCTCCCCAACCCCTCCCACTCTGCAGCCTGGAGAAGCCAGACTTCTCCCCCGCAGCCAGGGTGTGCTCTCTCTCATGCCCCATGCTGGCTCAGCTCACCCATCTCTTCCTTCAGGAAGCAGCCTACCTCCAGCACTTCTCTCTGGAAGTGTCCTGTACCTCCTAGGCTTTCCTGAAATGGCACCTCTCGTCTCTCCAGCCTCAATTCTCCTCCGTCCCTCTCAGAGTGCTTGACACCAAAGTGCTTAGTAAATATGGGTAACATGAACAGATCTGCTGAAGGTTAGGTGCCTTTAGGAGCCTGAGATCCGCCAGGCTCCCACATGGGACTGCAGAAAGGGGAGCCATGGGAGGTAATGGACATACTGCATAGCCCCAGCTGGCTGGCTGACTAGAATAAATGGTGATCTATGAGAAACTCAAGGGGCTGATGGGGTGTGGCTATGACAGTACTCAATGAAGAAAACCCTCAGGGGTCACATGAGGTGGGAGGGGAGTTTAACGGAGATGGGAGGGGAGGCATATGGTGAGTTTAAAGAAATTTACAAGAAATTGCAAAAGGCATGTGAGAAAGTCTGTTTTCTACAATTACTCCTTGTAAGGTGCATCTGTAAAAGCTAGTAAGATTTTTGGGAATGAATAAATAAAAGGTTATCCCCAGACAAGAGAAAGCAGAGGCCCAGGAGACATGTTCTAGAACAAAAATCACAAAGGTGAAAGGCCAGTAACATCATACTTACTTGCTGAATTTAATTGAACTCAAAAGTTTGGAGACACAGTTTTCAGGTGTAGGTAAGACATGCTAAGCTTAATAACGTAGGCTTGCATATATTTTTTTTTGTTTATTAGTACATATTTGCAGCACATAATGTTTACATTTCTTGTGTGGAGTTGGTACATGCACAGAGCACATCCCAGCTCCTGCTTTTCATACCCTATCCCTTCTCTCCCTCTCCTCTCCTTCCATCTCTTGATGCCTTCTCCTCTGAGAAAAATCTGTAAAAATATTTACCAGCTTATTAAAAAATAATTTAGAGCCTATATAAAAAAAGGATTCAGGCTCTACACAATCCTGTACAGTCCACCCTCCATATTTATGGGTTCCTGATCCACAGATTCAACTGTAGACTGAAAATATTTGGAAAAAATTGCATCCATACTGAACATGTAAAGCATTTTTATGCATATTATTATTCCTCCTCAGCTTGACGTCATCAAGAGTATGGAGTTCTGTTCTGGGTCTCATATCTTCTTGTAGAGATAGGCCAACTCAGAATGCTTTCAGGGAAGGATAATTAGGAAGGAGGAGACCCTCAAAGCTATAAGATATGGGAAATGATTGAAACTAAATTCTATCACAGCCATACCAGAACTTTCTAGTCTCTTAATCACTTAGCCTCTCCTGGATGCAGGCACAGCTGTCTGTCCCCTGGGGTCCCCAGCTGAGTTCTGGTGCCTACTATGTCACCCCCAGGCTTCTCTGGCAGACCTTCCTCCAGGTCAGCTCACTTCCACTCAACTCCCATGTGAGCTTTCTACACTGCACATCTACATCTCCCTGCTAAAATCCTTACTGGATGCTCCTGCATTCACCATCTGACTCAAGCCTTTCATGATCTGACCCAAGCCCACTGTTACAGTCTCATCCCATTTCCTCTGTTCTGGCCACATGCTCAGCAGATCCCTTAATATCCTCAGCATTTTCTCATCTCCATACATTTGTACCTACAATTTCCTCTGCATGGTGAAGAGAGCCAGAAACTCAAATTAAACTCACTAAATATAAAATGAACACATTGGTCCAAATATCCCTACTATAGTTTGGATCTTCAATGTCCCCCAAAGGCCTATGTGTTAAAGACTTGGAACCTGTAAGAGGTGGAGACTAGTGGGTCCTTAGGCCATTGAGAGCATATTCTTGAAGGGGACTATAGGATCCCAGTTAGTTCCTCCTTATTTCTTGGGCTTTCTAACCATGAGTTAAGTTACTGTGTTTTGCCACACACTCCTGCCATGATATCCTGCCTCACCACTGGCACAAAGCAATGGGGACAACCAACCATGAACAAGAACATCCAGAACTATGAGCCAAGATAGACTTTTTCTTTTCATATTGTGTCAGGCATTTTTGTCTAGGAAAGTGCTAAAATATTATCCAAATACAAAGTAACGCAAGGTGTAAAACCCAATCCAATAAAAAGAGTCCCTGTCCTGCCCTAATTTTTTCCTAAGTGGAATATTTACACTTATTGCTGGGTGAGGGCAGATGGTAGTCAATGGTTCTAATTTCATTTCTTCTCAGTATCCTAAATTCAGGGACAAAAACCAGGTTTTGTCACTAGCAACAGATCCCAGAGAGGACTCTGGGGTGCGGGGTGGCAAGGGAGTAGGGGTGCACTCTGACTAGCTGTCGTGCAGCTCAGAAAAACAGCACATCTTTCTCAGATCCCACCAGGGTCAAGGAGAAAAGGAAGCAGGAGAGGCAGTTCCCCAAAAGAGGTAGGCTGGAGACAGGCCACTGCACCTTATGAGCCTTCTCCGTCCTTCTCCAGAGTCAAATGCTTCTATCCAGGTTTTCCAGAAGTCTTCATCAATTCCTCTCTTCCACCCCAAGTTACATCACTGTGGGTTTTTGTTGTTGTTGTTTTCAATGTGCCTTCTTATCTATCCAACCTAAGTTCCTGAAAGAAGGACACTTTGTTAGTACTGATCATCCGTCTATTTTCCACCCTCCACCTTCTTCCCCTGCTGGCCCAGGTGGATGCTACTGCTGGGATCCTGAGCCCCCTGGCTGCAGGTGGGGCTTGTGTAGCTCACAGTCAGGAGATGAGAGCTGAGCTACTGGTCCCTCTGGTGACTTCCTGTAGGTTCCTGGGAGCTGGCTGCCTCCCTGGACTGAAGGTGACAGCTCTTTTGTCAACAAACCCTCTCCACAGAGGTCAAGGTCTGGCACCAGCTCTTCCTGTCACCCCTTCCAATCTGTTCTCTGTTCACAGCCCAGGGGTGGAGGCTGCCCCACCTCCTTAGATTTCCCTACACTCTGCCCACACCTTATAAATAGCTCCTTTATTGAACTCTCCTCATGTAACCCAATTAGGACCCCTGCTGAGCACAGTCTTCTATTTAGCTTTGTTGCCTAAGGACCCAGCTCAGTGCCTTCTATACCACTGGCACTTAATAAATTCAGGAATTAAGGAATGATTAAGCATCAGCCTTAAGCATTAAGACTTAGCATTAAGTCTTTAAGATTAAGCATTAAGATTTAAGCATTAAATCTTATATGGAAAATAGACTAAGAAAGACACTGTCAAAAAGATTTTTGACCAGCATGCATAGTAAGATACATAGCTCAGAATGGAATGCACTGTACTTCTACAAATGTATACATGCCTGATTGAGAAGTTTTGTGAAGTGCTTACTTTTACTCTGTGTGTGTGTGTGTGTGTGTGTGTGTGCATGCTGATATTTTCTATTTAGTTCTCCTCCATTTCAATTTTTCAAATTAACTTCTCACTATGATCTGCTAAATTGATTTCATGGCCTACAAAACAGTTGCAACCCACAGCTTAAAAAGTGAGCTTTAGCACTGTCTGCATTTTGGAGAGCCTGTGACTGCCATGTTAGAATCCCAAGGCAGAATGGATGAGGAAGTAATCATGTCATGATGGTGATGCACATATCAGGAGGTGGCTTGATTGCCTTGAAGAATCAGATGAAGGTGCCATTCTGTCTTCAGTTTTTCATAGAATTATTTCTCAAAGTTGAGTATTTTTTAGAAGGGGAGGGGATTAGACCTCTTAAAACTCGTTGTTGACAAGAATGATTTTGAAGCTTCAAGGTCATGAAAATGAGTGCTGGAAACCCCAGGACCCACATACTCACTGTTCAGTGGGCTCCGGAGAAAGTTGGAAGAGGACAGCTCATCTTGATCCTTCCCTAAGCATCCCCAGCTCTCCCCACTGCGAGCAGCTCCTTCTCCTCCCAAAAATATTTCTGAGAGCTTGATTATTTGGATTGCATGATCAAGGGGACAATACAGGCCTGCCATTTTGCAAGTGGACAGTCTCTCAGGGTTTCAAATTCAGCCCAGTCTATGGCCTTATCCATCTCAAAAATTGTATGACTATTTAAAAAAATGAATTATTTGTTTCCTAAAATTGAATGTCACCTTCTAACTCACCATCTGTCATTCTGCTGATATCCAAACTGTAAGGCAAAGTCAAAAGGGTAGAAAGTGGTCATAGATATTATTTAGCTTCTATTTGAATCAAATCCATAAACTGTCTTTAAGCAGATCTTTCCTCAGTGTTCTTTAAAAATAGAGATACAAAACAAAAGCAAACAAACAACAACAACAACAAAAACAAGGCTAGACTGTCCCCAGCTGATTATGTGTATAACCTCAAACTCATAAGGGGAACCTCAGCAGGCTGTATAGATCACACATTTACTTGTTTATTAGCCTACAAATTCATCACAGCACCTATATTTCAGGCACGACTGCAAGAACAGTGAATGGAACAGGTCTTTGTATCCATGTTCTAGGAAAGGAAACAGAAAAGTGTCAAATAAGCAAGGCTATGTCTACAGGACAGGAGATGTGGTAAGTGCTACATGGGATGCAAATTGGTGACTGTGTTTGAGGCAGTGTGTGCATGAGTGTGCACATATGTGACCACTGTCATTGTGAGTGGTGCCAATGAGGGCCTTTTGGAAGGAGTGACATTTGAGGAGAGAGTGGCAAGGACTAAGTCATGGAATTCTCAAAGCAAAAGCATCTAGTGAAAGGAAGGGCACCCGCAGAGGCCTCGAGACCATGAGGCAAGCAAGCCCATGGCTGGAACCTAATGGCCCAAGAAACTCTTTGATCCTTCTTCCCCAGCTTATGCCAAATCCTGTCATCTTTTTTTTTTTTTGGTACCGGGGATCGAATTCAGGACCTTGAGCTTTTGGGGGCAGGTGGAGGCACCACTGAGCCAAATCCCTGACCACTTGGCATCTTTTTTGACACATAGGCTCATTTCTTAAATTATTATTTTTAATGGTGGTAAAATATACATACAGATCACCTTCTTAACCAGTGACAATAAGTACATTCACATTGTTGTGAAACCATCATGATCACCATCTACTTCCTGAATGTTTTCTTCACCATTAAACAATGTCCCATGGCCCCTGGGGCCCATCCTTCTATTTTCTGTCCCTATAGATTAGTTTACTTGAGGTACCTCACAAAAAGGCAGCCACATTGCATCTACCCTTTCAGACTGGCTTATTTCACTTAGTATAATGTGCTCCAGGCTCCTCCTCTTCCTCCTTGAAGCATGTGCTAGAATTTTCTTCCTCCTAAAGGCTGAATAGTATTCCATTGTATGAACATACCACATTCTGCTAGTCATTCATTTGTTGATGGTAGGTTCTAGAGTTTCTCTCCCCTGTAAGGCTGCTATGAACGCGGGTGTATCGGTTTCTCTTTAAGACCCTCTTCCCACCCCCCCACCCCCGCATTAAGTTTCTTAGTACATTTTAGGTATAAAATACAGTTACATACATCATTGGGATCTTGTACCTTTACGTGAGTATCTTGGTTCTTATTTTTTTTCCCCTTCCCCTGCCCTCCCTTCACCCACTCCACCCTTCCCTATTTGCAAAGATTTTGTTTCCATTCTTTTCCTTTTCTCATATTTTTTCTTTTCCCTTCTTTCCTTTCCCCTACCCCTCCCACTTACCCTGCTCCTTTAGACATTTTCTTCCTATTACACAACATCAAATATACATTTTTAAAATTAAAATATCAAGACCTAGGAGACATTACCACAGATTTAACAGAATGTAAAAGGATATAGAAAGCATATTACAAAAATCTGTTTTGAAATAAATTTGACAACTTCTAAGAAGTACCTTGGAAGACAAATTAATGAAACT